TATATATATATATATATATATATATATATATATATATATATATATCCAGGATCATTTTCCAACTTATTCAAGATCTTCGCCCTCTCTAACCTTCCAAATTTCTATACTAGAATAATAAGGTGCCTCACACATTTCACATATGATTTCTTTTTCAAGTTTTTTTTTCACTGTTCTTTGGACTGTCATAGCTGAAACTCCCCCCTCACGTGCCAAACATCTTATGGATTGAGTTGGATCTTTTCTAATTGATCTTTTTAGCTCTAAGTTGAAATGATGATCCCTCTTTCTATTGTGACCTCCTGATCCAGTTTTCCTCTCTACTGTTCCCATTTTTTTACAACTTATTCACCATTCTCTTGATGGTTTGCGAATGGAAAGATGGAAGTCAGAGTATGAATGTTGATACCATTAATGAAGGCCTGAATAATCTTTTTCCTCTCACCATTGTTCTGTTGGAAAGACATAGCGAGGCAGACACAAAACGATTTTAACCTGTTCGCTTTGTAGCTGAATAACTAAATATAATAATAATTTTTTTAGGGATTCTTACGAAAAATGATGTCAAGGTGGCTAAACGTCTTATCTGAATATCTGGAAAAAAGAAAATTAGTGTTTTTTTTTTTTTTTTTAGATATTAAACATTTTGTGGGATGAATAATTATGCTGTTACACGACTTGGACAGTTTTGCTGTTACACCCGATATATATGTATAATGTTTGAACTAATATACTATATATACATATGTAATAAAAATAACGTTTGAAGTAATAAGAAATAATGTCTGATGAGAAATTAAAAAAAATCCATTAATTCTTTATAAATTACTTTGTTTACATTTCGGATACAAAAATAAAAGATAGCAGATCTAGACAATCTGAGACCCAAACAAAAGATGTATATTTAATGCATAGGGTAAAGTAAATAAACTTTGGTTGACTGTGAAAGTCTTCTGTGGCTGAGCAGTTGAAAAGCACTCCGGACTAAACAATGGAAGGCACATTTTCTTTATACATACTCTCGAATGCACAGGCTAGTAGACATATAAAATACTGTTTAAAAAACAGGGATGCTTCTACAAACACGCATATCCCTTAAATATAATGTTTGAAGTAATAAGAAATGATGTTGCATTATCAATAAAATCCTTATATATATATATATATATATATATATATATATATATATATATATATATATGTTGTCATTCACAAGACAGACTGTTTCGCTGTATCACAGCTCATCATTGTGGCTAGACATTTGGCACCAGTCAGAGATTTTACCCTGAGCTATCAGCGCCCGGTAGAGAGGGGAGGCAATTGTTTACGTACCTATTCGTCGAATAAACACGCCAATGACTGACAGTGCTCAATTCATAGAAGAGCTTTGCAACATTAGCGCTTTCCCTCAAGAGTGCTCGACCGAAATTAAATTCTCCGGTGACGTATATATATATATATATATATATATATAAATTACATACAATAGGAATCCAATTTGGTTATGGTCATTTCAACTTCCAGGTTTAGATTACCTAGCAAGGATTTTCAAATCGATCAGGGTGACAAAATAAAAAAAAATATTTATTTATTTATTACATTCTCTCACGGATAAAATAATAGACCCTATAAAAAATTACGATGGAAAACCTATTTTTACTTAAACCCTTCTGAAGCAGAATTTTGCAAAAAAGAAAAATACAGTGTAAAATCTCAAAATACTCCACCAAACAACAAACTCCCAGATCCTTTCGAAGCCGATATTTTAAAATTAATTAAAAAAATAGCTTTAGAAAATCATCTAACCAATTTCAATATGATATGAACAGAGACAGAATTATTAAAAAAAAAGAAACTTATAAATAATAGATATGTAGATTAGAGCTGACAATTCGAGAAATATTTATAAAATAAACCCCTCGAACTATCACAAACTTCTCTCAAACAAAATCACCAAATGATACAATTTTCAATAATTAACAAAGACGCTGCTAATTTTGCAAGAAAATCAATATTGAGGACAGAATGGGGAAAATCACATGAAAAGTGCATATTTGCTATTTAAGGACCACAAACCCATTTTCGATAACAACCAACAATTTCGATTGATCCAATCCTTCCAGAACGGAACTAAATTTAATTTCTGAAAACATAATTAAAAGAATAATCCATACGATACAAAAAACCTCTTATAATAATCTTTGGAATGAGTCTTCAGATACAATAAAATGGTTCCATAGTATTAAGAATAACATTAAGGCCACATTTATTCAATTCGACATAATAGACTTCTACTCCTCCATTTTCAAAGATTTCTCATTAAAAACTTTAAATTTTGCAAAAACTCTGTCGACATTACAGATGAAGAATTCGAGGTTATCTTATTTTCTAGAAAAACTTTATTGATGAATAATAATTTCACTTGGATTAAAAGTTACAATGATAATTTTGACGTCCCTATAGGTGCCCACGACTCCGCTCAAATAGCAGACTTAGTGAGATTAGACACCCTTAGTAGGATTATTGATCTGAAACAGGTTGGTCTATACAGAGATGATGGTCTTACTTTTATCCCAGATAGTAATGATCCACTATCTTCTAATATACAGAAGAAGATTATAAAGGCTTTCAAGTTCCTTGAGTTTAAAACTGAAATCTTATTTAACCTTAAAATAGTAAATTTCTTAGATATCACTTTCAACCTTTCGAACAACGCATTTAACGTTTCACAAAGCCATTCAAACTCCTATTTATATTAACGTCAAATGTAATCATCCCAATTCAATTGTTGGACAAATTCCAAACACGTTAAATGCTAAAAGTAATAGATTATCTTCTAACAATAATTTTCAATGAAAATAAAAACAAAACAAAACAAACAAACTTATAATGAAGTCCTAAAAAACGTGACTTTAAACAAAAATTCTTTTACCAAGAATCATTAAAAGATTGTGGTAGGATTATATGGTAGTAACACCATATGGAAATATACACTTTCCTTTTTACTAAGAGAATGACAAAGAAAACTCTCTTCTCTATTACACATATATAGATCCAAAAACAAAAAAAGAAAAATAATATGGTTTAATCCAACTTTCTGCCAACAATCTAACATAAATATTGGTAAACACTTTCTTAAATTGATCGATAAACATTTTAATCAGAACAACCCGCTACATAAAAATTTTTAACAGAATTTTTTTAATAGAAAACCTTTAAAAATCAGTTATTCCTGTACGAACAATCTTTATATTATTGATGCACGCAATAATAATATATTACATACATTTTGTAATAATAACAATCAATTAATTAACAAGCCCTCTTGGAATTGTAGGACCAAAAACAACTGCCCATTTGGAGTTATATGTAAATCTGAAAATGCTGTATATCAGGCAACCATCTTCTCAAGAGCGGATAAAAGTAATAAAAGTATACATCGAAATTTGTGGCGGGAATTGGAAACAGATGTTCTATAATCACAAATATTCGTTTTCTAACACTTCCTTAAAACACCAAACAGATTTCTCAGAATATTTCTGGAAATTGAAAAAAAAAAAAGGCTTCACCCCACAGATCGAATGGAACATCATCAGAAACTCAGAAAGACCTAATAATTTCAGAAACAGATGCAATCTATGCCTGTAAGAAAAAATTAAAATTATTAAGTACAAAAATACATGCCAGTTATTGAACCAGAGAAATTAAATCATGTTTAAATGTTGGCATAAAAATAATTTTAAATTATCTTAAAAATATAGATTTTTTTTTTGCGTCCAACAGTAAAAAATATATGTTTAGGTTTGTAACTATGTACGTGTATATATATGTATGTGTGCATTGTATATATTTGTATATATACATACGTACATATATATATATATATATATATATATATATATATATATATATATGTGTGTGTGTGTGTGTGTGTGTGTGCGTGTGTGTGTGTGTGTGTATGGATTCTTCATTCATGGATTTCATTCTAGAATCAAGCATTTGGCGGGATTCGAAGATCATAAAAATCTAGCAGTCTTTCATTGTCTACTGCATTCAGCTACATGTTGAAAAGAAAACCTTTCATGCATAAACACATATATATATATATATATATATATATATATATATATATATATATATATATATATATATATATGTGTGTGTGTGTGTGTGTGTGTGTGTATGTGCAGTAGAATAAAAATATTAATAATAACACCGGATTATATATCTTACTGTTCTTTTTCTTTATTATATATATATATATATATATATATATATATATATATATATATATATATAATTATTTTTATAAAAAAGAATAGTAATTGTTGGTTATTGGAATTCATTCCGTATATACCAATTATATACTTATATACAAATACAGAAATTGTCACTTAACTGATTGATGTTATATTCAGCACCTCTACTTCAGAGTTTCATAGACGGACCTTTGTGTAAATTGTTCGGCTCACTCGTCAGGCGGTATATAATGTCAGCAAGTTTACTTATATATTGACATTTTCATATTAACAACAAACAGAAACAAAATTAAAAAATCCAACCATATAGCCTTGAGAATAATTCCGTCCTACATTTTATTTATGAACTTAATATTAAGAACAGAATCTCTTTCCATGATATTTTAGTTCATGCGAAGAAGAGTCATATGCAAAATATGACACCAAAATCCGAATGTACATCGAATTAGTGAAAAATTCATTCTAACAGCTAAACAAAGTACTAATAAACAGGAAGATTTCGTTAGAAACAAGGAAAAAGTGACGAATTGTTATGTGATTATCTATCTATCTATCTATCTATCTATCTATCTATCTATGCCAGTCTGTCCATATCTATCTATCTATCTATCTATCTATCTATCTATCTATCTATCTATCTAATCAAAGCCTTATTCGAGCAAAATTTGATAATTACCTCTTATGATTTCATCTTTTATTGTTTTATTGTGCAAAAGTCAAATGGTCCTTTTAAATAAATAATCATTTTCTATTTTGTTCTTTAAATAAATTTATTTATTTTTCAGAAAGGACAGAACAACGTTGAATCAGAGGCAACTGACTATCGAGATATTTACAAATAATTCTTGACTATTTGGGCAAGATCATTTTTCTCATATTAAAAAAAAAACAAAAAAAAAACACCATATATAAAGACTTTAATTAGTTACCTAAAATTATTTACTTGAAAATAAGACTATATCTGATTAGAAAAAAAAAAATGAAATAGTTTTAAAAAATTGGTAAAGTCCATTTTTCTATTATTGGGTTTATGAAAAATTGAAGATGTTGGACCATTTCTCTCAGTGAATGCTGAATTTTAAAAATATTTTAGAATATCTTTTAATTTCTGTAATGTGTAGGTTCAGATTAATTATTTAATATTTTCTGTGACCGAGCAAGAAGATATTTATATTGTCAAAAGATTTAAATAAAATATATTTGAAATGGAAGAAACATTACCTCACTTAAAAATAATCAACACGTTTATTAGTAGAAGGATTCAAAATTGTATTCCATCAATTATGAGTTGATGTCTATTTAAGATGGCCAGATGAGCAATGTCATTTGAAAATAGATACATTTAAACATTTCAGTATCTGTTAATTTCATGTTTCATGCTATTTTGATCTTTGATATTTACTTGTTTTATGTTTCATGCTATTTTCATGTTTCCATTTTTCATACAATTTTCATGTTTCATGTTTCCATGCTTCATGTTTTATGCTAGTTTCATGTTTCCATGTTTCATGCTATTTTCATGTTTCATGCTATTTTCATGCTTCATATTTCCATGCTTTATGTTTCATGCTATTTTCATGCTTCCATCTTTCATGTTTCATGATATTTTCATGTTTCATGTTTCCACGTTTCCTGCTATTTTCACGTTTCCATACTCTTTTTATGTTACATGTTTCCATGTTTCATACTATTTACATCTTTTCATGCTATTTTCATGTTTCATGTTACCATGTTACATTGTTTTCACGTTTCATGTTTCAAGACATTTTCAGGTTTCCATGTTTCATTTTTCACGTTTCATGCTATTTTCATGTTTCATATTTCCATTTTTCATGTTTCATGCTATTTTCATGTTTCAACGTTTCATGTTTCTTGCTATTTTCATGCTTCCATGTTTCATGCTATTTTCATGCTTCCATGTTTCCACATTTCCTATTTTCATGTTTCCATGTTTGATACTATTTTCATGTTTCATGCTATTTTCATGTTTCATGTTCAATGTTTCTTGCTTCGAAACTGGTCAATTGTGTGAGGGCTTTTATCTTTATCATAGGTCAGGCCTTTTTTTTAAAGAAAAGAATAACACTGTTATTTAAGAAGTTAAAATTGCCATTGAAGTTAAAGCTAATTTCTCTCAGTTAATAATTTGAAATCGAAAAGTGATTCCTAGAAAGGCATTAATGAATTAATTTTCAGGCACATTTGAGGTTGAGCATTTATTGGATTCTAATTTTCCCTCCAGACTTTAAGTCG